AGAAGAAGACTCCCCATAGCTGTGAGAGCCTCTGGTTATGTGGGAATTAACGGGAAGGAACCTGCCTGGATTGTTAAGGAACTGGGAACATCCAGACTTCATTTCTAATAGTGAAAAAAAAGAGAACAGCTTTCATGTCCAACAACATGAGTTTGCTTAAATGAATAACAGTCTGTCCACCCGATGCAAGATGAATGCAGCCTTCCAAATGATGCTGGAGAAAAGAGATTTGTGGCCTGGCAAAGATTCTCTATATTTTGCCAAATGAAAAGAAGCATGGCATAAACTATGTCTAGTACGAGCCTGGTTAAAACACATTCATACACATGCAGAGAAAAAAGTCTTGAAGGATGTAATTATAATGCGAAAATATTAATGGAGTTATCCCTGGGTGGCAATACAATTACAGGTGGTTTTTATTTTCCTTCCATTGCGCATCTGTACTTTCTTCTCTCTCTCTTTCTCTCTCTTTTCTTTTTTTGGTGAGACGGATTGTCGCTGAGCTAACATCTGTGCCAGTTTTCCTCTATTTTATAAGTGGGACCCCGTCTCAGCATGGCTTAATGAGCAGTGTGAAAGTCCACGCCTGGGATCTGAACCTGTGAACCCTGGGCTGCTGAAGTGGAGCACATGAACCCAACCGCTACACCGCCGGGCTGGCCCCACATCTGGACTTTCTACAGCTTTTATAGGAAATATATTATTTTACATTAAGGAAAAGCAAGGTTACTGAACAAAACAAATAGGCATTAAAGAAGAGTCTTTGTCTGGGCTGTACCCCGTCCTCGAATGCCGTCTCCTCTCCCTTAGCTAAATTCCCTCTTCTTCAAAGCCGTCTGGGATGATTTCTCCTCCTGCAAGATGCTCATGACAGCTCCAGCTCACCGCAGTCTTAATTTAAAAATCCTTCTAGAGCTCCCGTCTGCTGCGCATCGGGCATCGTCCAATATTATTCTTCAGCTGTGCTCATGTTGAAGACTGGAAAGGAGCAACTCAGGCCAGGCGGAGGTGAGACACCAGCAGCATCTTCAAATGTCGGAGGGCTGTTGCATGAGAAGGATCTCTCCGCCTTCTGTAACTACCTCTAAACAGGAAAACCGGGGTGCAGAGAGGGGACATCTTAGGGAGGCAAATTTCTTCTGATTTAAGGAAATAGCTCTCGCTACAATGGGGAGGCTGACGTTAGGATGCGCTGCTCTTGGTTACTGGGGGGATTTGGTGAGTGGTTGTGACCACTGGTAGCTGTTTGCTAGACAATCGCATTCTCTGGTCTGTAAAATCCAATGGTCCTTGTCTCCCCAGCGAGGCAGAAAACGTTCAGAGCAAAGAGCAGCCCTTGCATTTCTCTGTTCTCTCCACGTGACTGAATAGAGAGCAATTATCCAACACTGACTTATACAGAATTGGCCTTCACAGCAGCAGAGTCACCCTGCCGATTCCCTCTGGCTCAGACTGCCAGGAAAACGCACTTCTTTTCTCTCTGATAAATTTCTCTGATGCACCTTGTGTTGTCTTGCCTCTGAGCCTTTGTCCAGGCTGCACCCGGCGCCCGGAACATGCTTTCCACTCCCTTTTCCTGTCTGATTCCTGTTCATTTTTCAGATCTCTTCTCAAATTCACTTCCTCCAGGAAGCTTCCCTATGTGAGCCGCTCATGGGGTTGGGTTAGGAGCCCCAGCTCTGTGCTCCGGTGGCCCCTGAAGCTGCCCCATCCTAGTGTGTATCGCACCATGTTATTTGTTTCGCCCCATTGCCGACTCCGGGGCCAAGGCGTGTAACCTGCTCTTTTTGATATCTCAGCGTCCAGCATGAGTTGGCATAGAGCGAGTACCTAGTAATATTTGCTGAGTGAATGAGTGTGCTGGGGGGAGCTGGCCAGGGCTTCAACACTGCCCGTGGGACATTCCTAAGCTGCAGAAAAAGCATATCCTAAAATGACAAATACTTAGGAATGTGAGCTGCTCCTGTCCCTTCTTTCAACACCCAGGGATGCGGGAACCTGTTCTGCAGAAGCATGAACATCAAAAGGCAGTGGGGTGTACTTTGGAGGGGAGAGGTTGGTGACACAGCAGTGAGAGAGCCTGAAGGGGGGGGGGGTCCCTGGCCCTTCCTGGACAGGAGGAGCAAGGAGCAAAGCTTTGGCAACCCACCCTGGACCCTCTTCTTAGAGAAAAGCCTGGGAATCAGACCCCCTCTGAGTCCATCTGGCTCTAAGCCTGGGCTGTGTCAATCAGGGACATTGACTCAGATGTCCCATGTAGGGAGGCTGGGTCTGGTCCCAATCCTGCACCTGACTCCAGGTGACCTCGAGTAGTCTTGTCCCTTCTCTGGGCCTCAGTTTCTCTGTCTGTACAGGAGTCGTGGTCTAGAAGGCCTCCAAGGGCCCTTGGAGCTCAAGTGGCCTTTGCATCCATGTCACTTTGGGGTTGGAAACCTCCCCTGACATCGCAGAATTCCCTTCAAGGCAATGGTTGGTGACACAAGCACAAATTCAGCTCAGCACTTATTCCACTCTGCCTACAATTTCAGCTCCCTCTCAGGGTAAGGAGTTGCTGAAGCGTGTTACACGCTTCTAAGACCATCCTTCTTAAAAATATTAAGAAGATCCTGTGTCTCACGCCAGGATTGAGGGAACAGTTTCATATGGCCCCTGGACACCAAGCAGTGAGCAGAATATGGGCTTTGGGCACAGACCCGGCTTCGAATCCCGGCTCTGCCACTTGCCCACAGTGTGCAGTTCGCTTCATCTCTCACCCTCAGCTTCCTCATCTACAAGAGGGAAATATTAGTCTCTACTCAGTACTGCTGGGTGAATTCAAGGAGTCGATGTCTCTGGACAGTTTCTGAGGAGGAGACCTCCTGCACTGAGTCTCCTCTGTTAAGAGATGAGGAACCCAGGACCAAGTGAGTTTCCTTAAAAACTTTTGCGAGAACCCAGACTCCTGGGTGTGCAGGCGTGGGGGTGCAGGAGGGGGCGATGAGGGCAGTGACAAGTGTTCCCTTAGGTTATGCTGTGCAAGAACTCACCTTGGAGGCCTGCAAGGGGCCTCCCACCACCTGCTGATGGTTTTTCCCACCAGGACGGTGTACTCTGAGGTGTTCCTGCCTCAGGACCCCCAGCTTCTCCTCCCAACTCACAACTAACAGTAAAGGGGAAAAAAAGACTTCATCATTTATAAAAGCTGTCACACCTCTGTACGCTGTATCATCACATGCCGAGAGGTGGGGCTCCCCGGGCTGGAACAGGTCCTGGTGCCAACCAGTGTTTCTGGAGTAATTGACTCATGGAACTGACTCACTCATTTAGATACAGATATACCTTCTGGTCTGTTTTTTTTTTTTAACCCTTGAAACTCTCATCACTTTAGTCCCATTTTGTGCACTCAGGAATGAGCTCAAGGAAACTGTAAGCAAGCAGCCGTTGACCAAGTGCTAACTCATACGGAAAACAGCAAGTTACCATTGGGGGATTAAGGTACTGGTTTGTCCCCCACTTCTGTCTCCTCTCTTGCCATCTCACTCACGGAGCAGGACTGATCCCCCTTCTGAGAAGATGCTGGGTTGAGGGAGGATGATCATCTGCATGGGACAGGAATTTGGGATCTGGGATAGAGTCTAATGCAAGATCTCCAGCCACCTTACACGTAAGTCAGCTGCAGCCAGCCCCTTACTGACTCCGATTCATACAATTCACTCACCCATCCATTCATTCACTTGTTTAAGACCAAAACTCGCATGCTGTGCCAGGTGCTGGTGCCAGGAGGAAAAGGGTCCCTTCCCTAAAGGAGCTCTCAGAACATAACATCCATTGCCCCAACTCTTTCTCTCCGAGCTGCCCTTAGCTCCGATCAGGTAAGAACCCTTGCAATCCTGCAGCCCTGCTATCCCACCACTGTCCAGAAGGTGGCAGCAAACAGGCCAAGAAAGGCTCAAAAGGTGACCAGTCGCGGGAGGCAGGCTGGGAGATGGCTGGGAGTCACCTGGGGATGAAGTTCTGCCCAGTTTTTTGGAAAGGACCTACCGCACATCCATTCAAGGGGACAGATGGCCCAACCTGACCACCAGCTGCAATGTGCACGCAATGTGCATTGACAAGGATATTTGGTTCCAAGCAACAAAAGGCCCTGGGAGATGGCTTAAAAAACCAGGACGCAGGAAAGCCGAGGCGATGGCTGCAGCTGGGCCTCAGGAGTGGACCAGAATCAGGGTTTATCACTTCTCATCTTGGCAGCTCATGTGGTGGCCCCATTCTGCATACCGGGCTTTCCCATTCCTCAGAGTGGGAAAACAGGGCCATAGCAGGTTGGAACACAACCTGTTGCAGCCAGCCAGGAAGACAGGAATTCCGGGGAAAGGAACTTGGTGAATCAGCTCAGCTTGGGTCTAGCACCTGCCCTGGCACCAGGAAACGATGACAATCTGCAACCACAGGGCTGGGCCATTACTGTGGGAGAAACCTACCGGAATGAGTTTGGGTGTGCAAGGCCAGGCAAAGAGAATGTTCTGTGTCCTTCCCTGGACCATGGCTGCAATAGGGTGAGCTGCCAGGGTGGTGGGCACAGCTCCGGCCTCACTGTAGCAGGCGATGTGGGTGTCCTATTCCCACCCCCATGGCACTCACCTTTCCTGTACTCAGCTTGGGGGACTCCAACTGCAAGTACCTGCCACTCTGTGGGAGGGAGCGGCCCTCCACCCAGGACAGACTGAGGGAGGAGGTGGGTAAATCCCCCAGCTCCTGCCCCTGGCAGGGGAACAAATCTGGAGGGTCCGACAGCGAACTCCCAAAGCCCCCCAGGGGGACAGGGCCCAGCTGCCCAGAGCAGTAACCGGCTGCCTTCCCTCAGTCTCCCCGCGCTTTCTGGAATCACTGCCCTACTTTATACCCCCACGTCCTGGTCTCTGGATCTGCTGCTGGGAACCCACTCCAAGCCCCTTGTAGTCTCAGCAGCCAGATGAGTGGGGAGGAGCCTTTGAGAAATGAGCACACACTTTTCCATTCAATTCTGCCTTTTTCTCTAAAAATAGAGCTCTTTATTGAAAACAGTCTAGGGTAGATACCAAAAAGAATTAGGGAATTATTTAAATACGATATAAACAAAATTCACAATAAATACAAATATCTAAGAACAACATATAATCTTCTCAGTACTCTGACGACTTACACTGTTGCTCTCGCCTAAGGCAGCACCCATGTTTCCCCCATGGCCTTTAAGGGTGGCCCCGGGGCTCCCGCTCCGCAGTTCCCCAGGCCCCTGTAGGCGAAAGGGGCTTTGTAAACAGTTAGGTATTATATCGATGGCCATGCCCTTTGGTAATGCCTCCCACCGCTTTTCATGAATGACTTAATGACCTTAAAGGAGCTAAAATTTAGAATTCCTAGAGAGCTCAGCTTCTCTCAGAAATGAAACTTTGGAAAAAATGTTTAAAAAAGAAAAGCAAAGTTTAAGAATAAAGTGGTTCCGTCACACAAGCCTGAGAGCACAGCGATGATAGCTTTTAGTTTTTCAAAATTACCTCCAGGAAGCAGCTAGGCTGGGTTCCAGAAAGAACATCAGCCTTGGTCTAGGCATCTTCCGGGGAACTGGCCCTGAGCTGCAGCTCTCCCCAGTTCCAGGGTTTGTCCTGCCTCCCCTGTGCTCAGTGGGTTTGCAAGGCCAGCCAGAGAATGTTCCGTGGAAGGTGTAGAAATGCACACACGTGTGTGTGCATGTGTGCGTGTGTGTGAGGCCCAGCAGTGGTGAAGGCCTCCTGTCAGCTCAGTGCCCCTCAGAAATCCTTGCTGAGACCTCGGTACCGTGTCGACAAGGCCAAGGGCATAAAGGTTGTGCCAGCTGGCCAGAGACCAAAGATCTCACCCTTAAGGATATGCATAGTAAGCCACCATTTCAGCTTCTTTGTCTGAAATAAAGACAGGTGTTCCATTTAAAAAGTGGTTTGCTAACTTTTTCTTTAGCAGCGGAAGAGCCAAAGCACAACCTCATGTGGAAGGCCGCTGGAGTAAATCAGAGCCCGGGGCAACCACTCTGGGGGAAGTCAGGGGGTCCTATAGTCCATGGCTGCCCCTGCAACTGAGAGTTGTCCCCACGAAAGCTGAGGCCTTCTGGGAACATGGTTTGAGAACCCCCAGACCAGACGCCCTCGAGCAGCTTTTCCACATCTTTCATTTAATGCTATACTCTCATACTGGCTTCAAAACACCACAGCTCTGTGAGTAAAACGGATACAAAGATGCTTTTCTCACAAATGGAGAAATGTAAATCCGGCAGATTAAATGGCAGAGCCAAGATTGTTCAGCTCTCCGGCCACACAACTGACAAAAATCTTGGTCCCTGTGGTTGAAAACTCGGCTGGGCTCATCCATACACTGGTGGGTGCAGGTTAACAAACGCGTTGAGAACACCCATCATACCCCCAGGTAAGGACAGCCACCGTTTCCAGAAGACACTGGCTTCTCAGAACTGGAAGGGAAAATGGGATTTCTTTACAACCACAGTCATCAACCAAAGGGTCTCAAGTTCTGTCTGAAACAGGGATGCCAAGCGCAGGAGTCCAATGCCTTGCCAGGTTGCCACCCCACCCCCTGGAAGGTGGACCATTTGGTTCTTTCTTTGCTGGGAAAAAGGAGAGGGACCAGGGTCCCCCTTGGCTGGGCTCTGCCTTCTGAGAGCTTCGTTTCGTGATGGGGAGAGGCAGCGAGGGTGGAAGAAAGGAGGTAGACTAGAAGCGGACAAGCTGAGAGGTCGCCGCTTCCAGTCGCTCTGAGGTTAGGGGTCACAGGTGGCAGACGCCCAGCCATCTCCTCAGAGCCTGGGTGGGTTGGAGAATCCTCCAGCCACGATGCAGAGTGCCAACGACGCAGCAGGCACATGCTATACACATCTCTCTCTTGGAACCCTCATCACACCCCAGGTGGTAGTTACAGATGAGGAAACTGAGGTAGAGAGAAGGTGGCTAACCCAGTGTCGCACAACGAGTAAATGGCAGAGCTGGGACTTGAACCCAGGTCTGTCTGATATTAAAAACTGTGCAATTCCATGACTCAGAGACTGCAGTTTGAATGATGACCACCCTTTCCCTTCCCCTCCCACGCTCTCAGCTAACTGGATTTTCCTTTACCAGGGCCCACACTCAGGAATCAGGAGTCTAAGTATCAAGGGAGGAGGGACCTCAGTGGGTGCTGGAGAAAGGCACGACTCTGATACAGACGTGCCTCCGAATTTCCTTCCCCCAAAGCCAGATGGCCCCTTGTGGTGGCAGCTCTTGATGTCCAGTGTGACTGACCTCACCTGTTTCACACTGTCCAGCGATGACGTTTCCACCTGGCCTATCAGCCCAGGGACAATGGGGTGATCTGACTCCCACCCAGCCTCTGACCTCAGCCCATCCTTGTCTCCATCCGTCTTGGAGCTCAGTCCAAAGCCGGTTGGTCATAGGGTGGGGTGGCTTCTTAATGCTCAACCCAACAGACAAACAGCCTTGAGCTGGGGCTGCACCTCAGCGATGCCGCTCCCAGTCCCTCAGGTCTCGGTGGCATCTTGGGTCCTTGGGAAGCTCGGCAGCACCAGACTCGGTGGGAAGCTGGGCGACAGCTCACCTGGCCATGTAATGCCCCAGTGTACTGCCCCTGACCTCGGTCCTCTGGAAGCCGTCAGCCCCCCAGCTGCCGGCACTGTTGTCCTCAATTTCCGATTCCCTCCCACCCTCTTCTTCCTCCTCCTCCTCCTCCTCGGCGCTGCTGTCCCAGCCGAAGATCAGTGTCCCAAGAGAAACTGGGGGCTCCTCGGGGAGGAGCTTCAGACCTGGTGACGAGGAGCCCCAGCTGGCCCAGGAGAGGTCCTCTCTCAGCGGCTCGGCCAGGGAACCCGAATCCTCAGAGGATTTGGGTCGTGGGAAAGGCTCCTGACACTCGTCCCCACCCGGCCCTTGGCCTGGCCCCTTCTTGGCCAAACAGCCAGAGGACCCAGCCTCATCCCAGGGGGAGGAGCCCCCAGTGCTGGTGCAGCTTCTGTCTGAACAATCACAACCAGACGAGCCTTCAGCCTGGACCAGGAGAGTCCAGGAGCCCCCTGCTTCAGTGGGTTCCAGGATCTGGTGCTCTTGCCCCAGGAAGGAAGGTGGTCCATGTAAGGCTGGAAGCTGACATTGTCGTCTGTGTCCTCCTCGTCGTCCTCCTCCTGCTCAGCACCGTCCTCTGATCCTGCCTGGACGGTGGCTGGGGCTCTGACTCCAGGGGTCACCCTGACCCTTCTGGTCAGTTCCTTTTGGGGACAGAGGATCAGGTCATCTGGAGACACTGGGTCACTGGGCTGAAAGGTTGGCACTGGGTGTCTGTGTCCAGAAAAGTCCTGATTTGGGGAGGAGAGAAGAACGGAAATTCAGGCTTTCCTGAAATAGGATGGCTCTAATGTGGGTTCCCCCGGAAACACCCTGAGACAAAGATTCAAACGTAAGCAGTTTCTTTGGGAACTGATCCCAGGAAACGCCAGCGAGGGAGTGGAAAAATGCGACAGGAGCGGGGGGGAGCAGCCAATAGAGGGGTGTTATCAGGCGAGTTCCCCCCACAGCAGCTGGAGCTGAACCCTGCCCTGCTGGGGACTCAGGGAGCCCGCAGCGCACACTCCTCAGAGCACATCGGGTGACGGGTGGAAGGGGTGTGATGGTGCTAACTTCCTGACACTTGCAGCCTGCCACGTGCATGGCCAGAGTGGACACCACACGCCAGAGACAGCCCCCAGGATGCAGGTGCTGGCTACTAGAGGTCAAGCTGGCGACTTTCCATGCAATGGGAAGGCGGAGCGATGGGGCAGGGTGCAGACGCGCCTAACACAGAGATTTTCATTCTTTAGTGTGACTTCCCTGCAGGTCCCGAAGCCAGGAACTGTGAAAATACTTCCCTGGGCAGGGACACTCAGAATCCATGCCCACGGCCCCTACCCGACCCTAGTGCCCACTGAGCGACACCCAAGGCTCAGTCTACCTTGCCGGGCCCTCATTTGAACAAGTCTGACCCATCTGACCTCTCCAGGCTTCCCCCGCCCCAGCCGGCCCCCACCTTCTAAGGGAGTGAGCCAGAAGACAAGTGAGAAATTTCAGGGTTGGCTTGGGCAAGACTCACCCTCGGTCAAACTGTGAATTAAGTGTTGGGATCCTTCAAGACGTTCTCTTTTGGCACCACCCCTCTCCCCCTCCCCTTCTGGGCATCTCTCCTGAATCTCAAGGCTGGGGGCTCTGCTCTGGGCCCCTGACAAATCCTTAGCAGAGATGAAATTATTTAACTAAAGGGACTTAAGGCACTCCTCCCTCCTAGGTATATTTGCTATTTGCATTTGATGCCAAAGGAATGAATCACTAATGGTGGAAATTTAGACATGAAGATAGGAGCTGTTTTGCAGGCTGGACCATCTTGATAGTCTACCTGAACTACCTCTAAGTCTAACCTCGGTCCCTTCCTCTTGAACAGCCCTCCCCCTCGTCGCACACCCCCAGATTGGCCATACCAGGGCCTGTGGCATCTTGGCCCGCTGCAAACAGAGGTTCCCTGTGAAGCTCTTCCAGATCACACGCCCGGTGGCAATGACCACAAGCAGTGGCAGCAGAAGCAGAAGCAGCACCAGGAAGGTCCAGCTGGCTCCTAAGGAAGGAGAAATCACAACAACGAGGGAGACAACAATGGCTCCTGTCTACCAACTGCGTATGTGCTGAGGGCTTCACACACATTGCCCTATTTAATCCTCCTAAGAATAAACCCATCCTACAGACTGAAATCCAAGGTTCAGAGAGGTCATGTAAGCTGTCCAAAGATACACAGTGAGTGTGGTGGAGCTGGGATTTTAATGGAGGCGAGTCTGTCTCCAGACTCATGCTCTTAAGCATCCTATCATGTAGATCCTGAGGCCCAGGGGAAAAGTCGCTGCTTCTCTATCACTTGACACCCACCAGGCCCCTCCAGGGAGAAGCAGGTGGGCTCGGAGAACTCGCTGTATTTCGAGGCACCGTAGGTGTAGATGGTTCTGGCGCTGAGGCAGTGGCGTCCGCTGGCAGCTGGCTGGAGGGGGATCTGGACGGGCTGGCCATGGGGAGTGGCAGGAAAGTGGGTCTGTGTGGAGAGAGAAGCAGGGATGAGCAGATACGTGTGGGGACCAGCTCTAGACAGCCGGGATGGCGTGTGGTCGGCAGGCAGGATACAGCTGTGATCCTGCATCTTCTTTGCCTGCATTAAAGTGTAAGTGTTAAGAGAGCACTTCCCAACACGACCTGGTTTCTTTTCCACTGAGTCTCAAGGTCAGGATGATGGTCTGGGTTCAGCCTGACGCTCAGGGTCAGTCCTGTGCGCACCCCCAGGGCCTGCTGCTCCTCACCTGGAGGGGCAGATTCCTCAGGCTTCCTACCTTCAGGGCCTCCCAATCTATTAGGGGAGGAGGGGAGGATTGTTCAGCCATTACAGACACAGAAAACTCCAGGGCTGCCCTGTTCAATACAGTAGCCACTGGCCCCACGTGGCTATTGAGCACTTGACGTGTGGCTGGTCCAAACTCAGATGTGCTCTAAGTATAAAACACACACTGGCTTTCAAAGACTGAGTGAAAAAAAAACCAAAACATTTCAATAGTTTCTATATTAATTACAAGTTGAAATGATGATAACATTCTGGTGGATGAAATAAAATCTATTATGAAAATTAAATTCACCTGTTTCTTTTACTTAGTTTAATGTAGCGCATTGAAAATTACACGTGTGGCTCGCAGTAGATTTCTATGGGGCAGGGCTGGTCTGGACTATCTGTGAGGTCCTGGAAGGCAGGGACCACATCGGACCATCTATATCCTTAGGATCCAGAGCGCTGCCTGGGCAAGCAGGCCTCCTGTAGCTCATCGTACTTCAATCAGATTTTATGGGGGAAAAAAAAGGCTTTCATAAATTTAAAAAATATATTAGGTAGAAAAGTGCTGTGCTGTCACTACTTGTAACAGGGACAGGATGCGCTGCACTTGGCCTCTTGCAAAGGTAGAGAAGGGCAGAGGTGGGCCACAGGCTAATTGCACGGTACAGAGTAGCGGGGTGACTGCCAGGAGTGAGGGGTATGTGGGGAAAGCTTCCTGGAGGAGGCTACAGGGAGGAGGCTGGCGGGGTGAGGAGCATTGGGGTTTGGTGGGGCAGTGGGGCAGGAGGGCCCAGCCTGGGGACAGGAAAGGGACTTCCCACCTTGTTCCTGGTGCCCTCCTTCCAGAAATCCACCTCATACTTCAGATCTGGCTGGTGCATGCAGAGGGGCAGCTGGTATGTGGCATTGACGCTCAGCATCCTCTCTGTCCGGTTGACCACGAGGATGGGCGGGGCCGGCTCCACTGCAGAAACAGAATAGGATCCGTCAGTACACTCTGGGGGCCACAGTGCGTCCGGCCCCTGCCTCCAGGCAGGCCTGCTCCTCACCCAGCCCAGAGAGCTCTCTGGAAAGGGGAAAGCAGCACTAGTGTCTGTCAAACACCTACTGCTCTGGGTCTCATGAGGCTGAAATCAAGGTGCTGGGCGGCCTGGGCTCTTCTCAGGAACCTCAGGGGAGAATTCACCTCTGCCCATCAGGTGTTGGCAGAGTTCAGTTCCTCGTGGCTGCAGGGCTGAGGCCTGTGTCCTTGCTGGTTGTGAGCTTGGAGCCCCCCACAGCTCCCGAAGGCACCTGCGTTTCTCAGCAAGTTGCCCCTCCATCTTCAAACTAGAAACGCCATGCTGAGTCCTTCTCACAGTACAGATCCCTCTGCTTTTCCTTCCTCTCCATCCATTCTGTCTCCGGCTGCAAAGTTCTCTGCTTTTAAGGGCTTACGGGATCAGATCGGGTCCATTTGGATAATCTAAGATAATCTCACTATTTTAAGGTCCATAAACTTTATTAAAATCCCTTTTTTTAAAAAAATAGGAATCTTTTATTTTTTATTTTATTTTTTTAAGATTTTATTTTTTTTTTCCTTTTTATCCCCAAAGCCCCCCCGGTACATAGTTGTATATTTTAGTTATGGGTCCTTCTAGTTGTAGCATGTGGGACGCCGCCTCAGCGTGGCCTGACGAGCGGTGCCATGTCTGTGCCCAGGATTCGAACCAACGAAACACTGGGCCGCCTGCTGCGGAGCGTGTGAACTTAACCACTCGGCCACAGGGCCGGCCCCGTACTAAAATCCTTTTTGCCGTGTAATATTAACATCTAGTATATTCACAGGTCCCAGGGGTCAGGGCATGAACATCTTTGGGGTGGTCATTCTGCCTATCATGGTCCTCCCTCGGACCCCCAAAATTCATGTCCCTCTCAAGTGCACAATACATGCACCCCATCCCAAGTTCCCCCAAGGTCTCATCCCATACAGCATCAACTCGAATTCCACAATTCCATCATCTAAAGCATCAAAATCAGGTTCAGGTGAGAATCTGTGTACAATCCATTCAGTCCACCTCCTGGGACACAATTCCCATCCACTGTTGGGCCAGTGAAAGCAAAGAACAAGTTATCTGCCCCCTAATACGAAAAGGTGGGACAGGCACAGGATAACAGTTACAGACATTCTGGTTCAAACAGGGAGAAATAGAAGGTAAGAAGGAGTTACTGGTCCAAAGCAGTTTTGAAATCCAGCCAGGGGAACTCCATTAGGTTTCAAGGCCTGGGAGACTTCTCCTGGGCTCTTAGCACTGCTCTCTGGGCTCTTGGTTCTGCCCTGTGGATCATCCTTCCTTTTCATGAAAGGAAGCAAGTATTTGCAGGTAAGTAGCTTTACTAGTCACTTCTTGCCAGTAGAAGCTGGGAGTCCAATAGCCTTCCTTCACTTCCTACTCTCTCTGTCCCTTTTAGTCCAAGCTGGCAGTGTTTCTGCTGATATAAGATTCTCAAGAACTTCATGGGTCTCCTGTGGATGTGATGGGGCTCCACTCCATTAGACGGAAGCCAGGTCCACAAATCGTTTTGAGATAGCCCTTCTCTATGTTTGGCTTTAGCTGAGATGGCTGAGGGATAACACTCCTCAGCTTTGTGGAGGACCCTTGATTTGACTGAGCGGAACTGTGACTCACACTCTTGAATCTTTTCCAAGAGAATTCCTTGACGGAACACTTTGATCTTTTGATCTTCCTGAGATTTTAGCGAAAGACTCTAGAACCACAAACTTAGCTATTTCTTTATGTCACACTTTTGGAAGCAGTTTCTTAATTTTAGCATCTTTTGCCATCTGGATAAGTTGAGAATTTCCCAAATCATCAAATCCTGGTGCCTTTTTGTTTAGGTTCTTCCCTCAATTTCTCTCCCTCTCTCTCTGCATTTTGCTGTAAGTAGCAAGAAGAAAGCAGGCCATGCCTTCAACACTTTGCTTAGAAATCGCCTTGATAAATATCCAAATTCATCATTCACAAGTCCTACTTTCCACACACCTGCAGGACACAATGCAGCCAAGCTTTCTGCCAGTATCTAAGAGATCGCTTCCTCAAGTTTTCAGTAACATATTCCTTACTTCCTTCCGTGAGGCAGCACCTTTAACATCCATACTTCTACCAACAATCTGTTCACGATGATTTAAGTATTCTTAAAGGAGATTTGCGTTGTCTCTGCAAGGCTCCTCACTGCCTTCTGAGCCCTCAATGGCACAGTCTTTAATGTCCACATTTCTCCTGACAGTCTGTTCAAGATCATCTAGGCTCGATGTCAAGATCGTCTAGGCTTGATGTCAAGATCATCCAGGCCTGCCCAGTGGTTTGAAGATAGAGGGGGCAAGTGACAAGGAATAAGGCAGTAAGAGAAAATCAACACACCATTGTTCAAGGTCCAGCTGAAATGCTGCTTTTTCCAGGCAACATCCTCTGACTCCCAGCCAGCAAGGAGCTCCGACCACACTGGTCACCCTTGCCTCATCTATGTGCTCAGGGCAAAGATGTGGCTTCCCTGAGATGCCACTCCTTATGTGTTCAGGAAATATCCACTGGACACTGATATGTACTAAGCCGTGCGAGGAGATGAGGGGAATGGGGAGATGAGGGTTCCAGGAATCTTGACCTCCAGGAGTCGGAGGAAATTAGGGGGAAATGAAATATGCAAGCTACCAAAACTGAAGACAAAAAGTGACCAGGGGCACAGCTGGGGGCAGAAGAAGGCAGGAAGCATCATTCAGGCTTGGGCTGTGCTACGGAAGAACCAGGAGAGCTTCAAGGAGGAGGAAGAAAAAAAAATTAAAAAAAAATTAACCTCTCTGCATCTTTCCCTCTATCGTTCCAATGTCTTATTCCTATCCATCCACCCATTGCAGTCATTCATCCCTCATTCTAGCCAGACAGCCTTCCCATCCATCTATCCAAGCTTGCCGACCATCCTTCCTTCCTTCCTTTCCAACCAATATTCCTTCCTTCCTCTCCAGCCTTTCTTCCTGTTCATTTATACTTTCTTCCTTCCTTTTATCTGGCCAGTTAGCCTGCTTTTCTACTCCTCCATCCTCCCCATCCATCCATTCTTCATTTCTTTCCATACATCTCTCCTTCCTGCCTGCCTGCCTTCCTCCTTTGCCTCTCCTTCCCTCCTGCTCTTCTGTCCTTTCCCAGGCAGCCAACCTTCCTTTTACACTATCCACCCACGGTTCCATCCCTCTGCCTTTCTTCCTATCCGCCATCTCTCCATCCACACTGCTTCCTTCCTAGGAAGCATTTGTCCTTCCACCTAGCCTTCTTCCTTCCCACTCCTCCATCATTTCTGCCTCTATCCTCTCCATGCTTCCTTTCTTCTTACCCATCCACCTTTGTCTTCCTTTTATCCATCCACCCAGCCAGCTTCTTCCCATCCGAATCATCTCTTCTTCCTTTCCTGCCATCCTTCATTCAATCTCTTCCTCCTCTCCCTTCAAGCTCTATTTTGCCCTCAAACATTTTGAGAAGCCTGGACAACAAGTTACAGACCTAAGCTCCAGGAGGCAACTGCCTGAGTATTTATTCTCTCCTTCTCACCACCCCACCGCACTCTTGATCTGGCCCAGTGCCTCATCCAAGATCAGAAAGATCCAGATTCACATCCCATCTCCACACTTACTAGCTGCCCATCCTGGCAAGTTACTTAACTTCCGTGAATCCTGCTTCATTTACTTGTTAAAAATGGGTTGATGAAAACAAACCTCAGTTTGTTTTGAGAATTAGAAATAAAATGCATTGGAAAAAAAAAAAGTACTCTCCTCACTCACCGTTAACACTGGTGATTCCTGGATGTGGTGAGCATGGGGAATGTTTTCCTCTCTATTTTCGTCTTCTTCCCCTCGCCCCAAATTTCTACAGTGTATAGAAATTACTTTTGCAACCAGAATTTTAAAAAATTGCTTCTTAAAGAGGGAGGTTGAACATAAGAAAAACAGGAATAAGTCTATAAAATGCCTTGTGTGGTCCACGACCAAGGTCATGCTCAACTGAAGATAACGAACGTGATCAGAGGAGGGACAAACTGACTGGCTGGTGCTGGTGGCACTCTGCAGCTCCCAGCCACGAAGTCAGGCTCCTCAGACACGGCCGGGGCCCACGGCGGCTGCCCCAGAGGGCTGCCCTCTGCTCTGGGGGGAGGAGACAGATGGCCAGGAGAGCAGCACCACAGAGCCAGGTTCTTGGACAGGGAGCCTCCCGCAGGTCCCTTACCTACCTTCAAAAAGGTATTCCAGCAACTCGGACTCCGCCCAGGAGGACTTGGCGCTGGGAGAAACCACCCGGACGCGCCCCTTGAGTTTGTTGTACAGGTCCTGTCTCTTCAGGCACATCAGAGGACAGGCCAGCTCTTTGATTCCTGCACACTTTTCCACTTTTCGCCACCGTCTGGTGATTGGATTGCTGAGGGAGGAGACAGGAGAGCGTGGGCCACGGACTCAGCCTCTCGGGGCCAGGGGACTTGGGGAACAGGTGAGCACTCCTCCCTCCACTCTGCCTGATCGTCCATCTGTCCATCTGCTCAGCCAGCCATCGGCCGAGCCAGAAAGAGCAGGTCCAGTTAGGAGCTCAGGCTCTGGAGTGAGAGTCGTAGTGGGACTCTTGGCTCTGCTCCTCACTAGCTCTGGGGCCTCACGCAGGTCACTGCCCTTAAACCTCAGGCTCCTCCTCTGTCATGCCTCCCTCACAGGGCTGCGGCGGTAGCCGCTATTCTTGGCGCTCGTAACCCTTTTCCACATGTTCATCCATTCACGCATCTGTGGACCACCTGCCGTGTGCCAGGCACCACGCTGGGTGCTGTGTGGGTGTCAGAGGGGAACATGCATGTCCCACGTCCTAAGAACACTGAGATCCAAAGAAGGGACCTGTGCGCTGGGCAGTATTCTTGGCGAATCGGCAAGGCATGACAGATGAGGGCCTGCCCTTGGGAACTGACACTCTGGTGGGAGGGGAAGGGAGACAATCATCACATGAACGAGACAAATCCAGGAGCTGGTAAGTGCAGCGACACGGGTAGCGTGGGAACGACTGCTTTCCAAAGGTGGCTCGGGAAAGGCCAGGAAGATGGTACTGAAGCCAAGGCTGTGATGATGACAAGGGAGCCAAGAGAAGGCTTAGGGGAAGGGACAGCAAGAACGAAAGCCCTAGGAAGGGAAGCAGCTGACCTGTCCAGAAAAAAGCAAGGAGGCCAATGTGGCAAAGCCCAGTGGACGGGGAGGGGCAGTATGGACAGACTGGAGACGCAGGTGGAGAGCGGGGTGGGCAGTGAGAGGACCTCGCCTTCCCAGTAAGGAGTTTGGATTTTATTCCAGGTGTGACAGGAAGCTACTGGAAGGTTCTAAATAGGGGAACTGAGGTGATCTGATTTATATTTTTAAAAGACCACTCTGATAAACCAGCTGGGAGGCTGCAGCCGTGGTCCAAGAGAGAACGGTGTGGAGATGGCGAGAAGGGGTTGGATGCCGGACATATTTTGCCGGTAAAGCCAACAGGACTTGCTCACGGATTGGGGGTGGAACGTGAGGAGAAGGAGAATGAAGGGTTACTCCTGGGTCTGGGGACTGAGCAATGGGTGAATGGGGAGAGCTGAGATGCAGGCAAAGAAGACAGATTATGGGGGAGAATCCCTCTGTTTTGTTTCTTGGTGGAGCTATACTATGTAAACGCTAACAAAAAAAGAGACTGGTGTGGTTATACTAATATTAGACAAAATACAGACTTCAAAGTCCAGAGCAATACTAAAGCTTGAGAAGAATCATTGCATAATGATAAATGATTCCATTTACCAGGAAGATATAAAAATTCTAACTCATATGTGCCTACTCAATAACTTCACACTCTATACAGCAGAAACAGACAAAACTACAGGAAGTAACAGAGAAGCCCCAATTACAATGAGAAAATTTTAATACACTTCACTCAGTAACTGACGATTGAGCAAAGAAAAATAGTCAATATGTCAAAAAAATGAACAACATAATTATCAAAGTTGATCTAGTGAACATATATAGAACAAACTGAAGAAACTGGGTGAGCCACACATGAACATTAACAACACAGTAACAAAATGTTAATGAGCATTAACCAAAATAAAGCAACTCTCAAGAAATTTCAAAGAATAGTCATCTCACTATTCCCTCTGACTCCACATAACCCAGTTAAACGTCACTAATGAAAGAAAACTAAGGAAAGTTTGAAAATTTTTAAATGTTTTAAAATAACTCATGGATTAAAGAGAGAACTATGGGGCTGGCCCCGTGGCTGAGTGGTTAAGTTCACGCGCTCCGCTTCAGTGGCCCAGGGTTTTGCCGGTTCGGATCCTGGGCGTGGACCTAGCACTGCTCATCAAGCCATGCTGAGGCCGCGTCCCACATGCCACAACTAGAAGGACCTGCAACTAGAATATGCAACTATGTACTGGGGGGCTTTGGGGAGAAGAAGAAAAAAAAGGTTGGCAACAGATGTTAGCTCAGGTGCCAATCTTAAAAAAAAAAAAACAGAAAAAACAGAAAGAATTATGATGGGAATTAGTAAATACCTAAAACTGACCACAAAAATAATAGAAATAAAAATTTTCAGAGGAATATATATAGCTTCAAATACTTATAACAGAAAATAAGAAAGGACAGAAATTAATAAACTAAGCAATCAACTGAAGTCAGAAACACACATCAAAAACCACATCCATAAACAGAGTAAAACTGTAACCTAGGGGCGGGCCCAGTGGCGCAGCGGTTAAGTGCACACCTTCCACTTCCGCTGCTCGGGGTTTGGCGGTTCAGATGCCGGGTGTGGACATGGCACAGCTTGACAAAAGCCATGCTGTGGTAGGCGTCCCACATATAAAGTAGAGGAAGATGGGCACGGATGTTAGCTCAGGGCCAGTCTTCCTCAGGAAAAAGAGGAGGACTGGCAGTGGATGTTAGCTCAGGGCTAATCTTCCTCAAAAAAAAAACAAACAAAAAACCCTGTAACCTACTACTCCAAAATGGGGTAAGAGACACTTAAAAATGATACTAGACATGAAAGAACAATACGAAACAGAATTAGAGAAACTCAGAAAGGAGAGAGCAGAACAGAAAGGAGGTAGCAGGAAAGAACCAGATATTCAAAAAAAACCCCTCATTTCAGAAATGAAGAATAAATTAGAAGGAATACAAGAGCAAATTAATAACAGATTATGCCTTAAAAGAAATAGAAAGTGAAAAGAAGGAAAGTTTTAAAAATAAAAAGGAAACAAATTTAAATACTAAAATTACGAAACTTCTAGAAAAAAGCATAGAAGAGTATCTTCATGATGCTGAGTCGGGCAAATATTTCTCAGAACACCAAAAGCTTTTGCTACTGAAGAAAAGAAACTGGACGTATGAGTCTGCTAGAGCTGCCGTGACAAACTACCAGGCGGGGGCTCAAACAACGGCCATTTATTTCTCCCATTTCCAGAGGCTGAAAGTCTGAGGTCAAGACGTCGGCACGTCTGCTTTCTCCTCAGGCTTCTCTCCTTGGCTTGTGGTTGGCCACCTTCTCATCGTGTCCTCACGTGGCCTTTTCTCTGTGTGAGCATGGGGTCCCTTCTCCTGGGTCCCTTCCTCTTCTTAGAAAGACACCAGTCCTATTGGGTTAGGGCCCCACCCTTATGACCTCATTTAATCTTTTTTTTTTTAAAGATTGGCACCTGGGCTAACAACTGTTGCCAATCTTTTTTTTCTTCTTTTCTGCTTTGTCTCCCCAAACCCCCCCTGTACACAGTTGTATATCTTGGTTGCGCGTCCTTCTGGTTGTGGGATGTGGGACGCTGCCTCAACGTGGCCTGACGAGCGGTGCCATGTCTGCGCCCAGGATCCGAACCCTGGGCCGCCGCAGGGTGAGTGCGCGAACTTAACCACTCGCGGAGCCGGCCCCCTCATTTAATCTTAATTACCTCTTTAAAGGCCCTGTCTAAAAATAGTCGCATGGGTGGAGGTTAGGGCTTCCACACAGGAAAGAATATGGGGGAACACAATTCAGTCCATAACTGGGCTAGTGAGTTAAGCTGCTATGAACGTTCATGCACAAGTCTTTGTATGGACACGTTTCCATTTCTCTCGGATCAACATCTAGGAGTAGAATCTGGACGATCTGGTAACCGAACGTGTACCTTTACAAGAAACTGTCGAGCTGTTTTCCAGAGTGGCTGTACCACTGTATACTCCCACCAACAGTATACGAGAGCTCTGGTGACTCCACATGCTTGGCGATACTTAGTATTGTCAGTCTTTTCATTTTAACCCTTCTAGGGAGCGTGTAGCAGTAACTCACTGTGGTTTGAATGTGCATTTCCCTAATGACGAGTAACGTTGGACATCTTTTCACGTGCTTATTGGCCATTCATATACCTTCTTTAGTGAAGTGACTATTCAAATCTTTTTGGGTGATTTGTCTCCTTATTACTGAGAAGTAGGAGTTCTTTATCTATTTTGGATACAAGTCCTTTGTCAGTGTCTATATCGTGAGAATATTTTTTTCTTGGTGACTGTCCTTTTCATTTTCCTCAGGCTTTTTTTTGAAGAGGAAAAGTTTTAAATTTGATGAACTCCAGTTTATCAGGTATTATGGACTAAATTGAACTCCCCCTAAATTCATACCATATGACTGGATTAGGAGACAGGGCCTTTAAAGAGGTAATTAAGATTAAATGAGGTCATAAGGGTGGGGCCCTAACCCAACAGGACTGGTGTCTTTCTAAGAAGATGAAGGGCCCCCAAGGATGCTCACACACAGAGAAAGGGCCATGTGAGCACACAGTCAGAGGGTGGCCATCTGCAAACCAAGGAGAGAGGCCTCAGGAGAAAGCAAACCTGCTGACACCCTGACCTTGGACTTCCAGCCTCCAGAACTGTGAGAAACAGACGTCCATTGTTTCAGCGCCCCAGTCCGTGATATTTTGTTACGGCAGCCTAGCAAACGAATACAGATTTTGGTACCATAAATAGGGTGCTAACGTAACAGATAGCTAAAAATGTGGAAGTGGCTTTGAAACTGGGTGATGGGTAGAGGCTGGAAGAGTTTTGAGGTGTATGTTAGAAAAAGCCTATTTTGGAAAGACTCCTCATAGGAACATGGATGTTAAAGGTGATTCTGGGGAGATCTCATATAGGAAGGAGGAACGTCTTACTGGAAACTGGAGGAAAGGTGATCCTTGTTAAAAAGTGGCAAAGAACTTGGCTGAATTCTGGTCGAGTGTTTTGCAGAAAGTAGGAGTTAAAAATGATGAAGTTGGATATTTGGCTGAGATTTCTAAGCAAAGATGTGACCAGGATTCTCCTCACTGTTTGTAGTAAAATGAGAGAGGAGAGAAATAAATAGAAGGAAGTGCTATGCACAAAGGAACCAGAACTTGAAGACTGGAAAATTCTCAGCGTACATATTCTGCAAAAAAATAAGAAAGCATGTTCTGGAGAGAACCCCAAGGCTGTGGCTGGAAAATCATTTGATAACGAGATCTTGGGTGTGACTCATGGGCTTAATTAGCCACCTTGGTAGAAGCCAGGAACAGAGATGGGTTATTATACATGTACATACATACACATATATATAACAATATATACACCATAACTCTGTACACTGAAAAGGCCTAAAAGCAGCAGCTATGTAGTGATCCGCACAGCTAGCACACAGATTGAGCTCTTTAAAACCACTTCCTACTAAATGGAGAAATGGCTGCTTTCAGGTTTTAGGTCAGGAATTGTGCAAGTGAGCCTGGAACATGTTATCATAACAGACAGCAATAAAGATAACAACGAACTGGGGCCAAGTTAAAAGGATTCAGGAGCCAACTTGAAGAGACTTTCATTGGCCAAAGATGGGACGATTCAAGCTTCAATGAGCAGAATGAGTTGCAGTGGATTGAAACCATCAGACATGTTTAAATAGCTGAATTCATAATGATAAAAAGAAAAATGAATCGATCACCCGTGGGAGATGATAGGGAACCAATTCATTATCTTGAAAACTGGTAGATAGAAGGAAAAAAAAATCAAGCATTTATTTTGTCTTGCCTATTTGAATCGTACCACTGAATATCAAATACCATATGAGAGGAGACATCTCTTTATAAAATAATTCCAATGAACAAAGGAAAAAAGAATACAATTAGAATATCACCATTTTGCAACCCTCACAGGTGTTTAAAAAGCATAAAAGAGAAGGAAAATATAAAGGTCCAGAGGATGGGCGTTCAACCCTTTAATAAATTTATCCCAGCTCCACTATTCCCAGCTGTGTGATTGAGCAAAATACCTTCTCGATCCCTCAATTTCCTCTACCAAATCCTACCTCACAGGGCTATGCGAGATTAAGTAAGTACATTTCGTGTATTGACAGTGCTGACACACAGCAAACACACAGCACACGTTCAGTGTTTTCTGCCTCCAACATAGTTCTATACAGTTCTTTCTTTTGAAAGCTCTCTTGCAGTCTGTCCTGCAAGTCAGGCCCCCATCACCCACATCTGGATGCACCAGATGGAGGGACGGTGATGGAACAGGAAGAGCGCAAGCTTTGGAGTCAGACAGACTTGGGTTTTTCTTCTGGCTCCATCACCAGCTTCCTTGGGCAAGTCATGCCACCTCTCTGAGCTCAGTTTCCTCATCTCTGAAATAGGGGAAATGCAGCGATCCTGGGAGGGAGAAGTGAAATAACCATGTAAGGCCCTTAGCACTCAGCCTGGCGCAGGGTGGGTCCTGAGTACACAGCAGTGCCCTCCCCTTCTGATTTCTTTCTCGTCACCAATTCTAGACGAATCCTCCTGAGTATCTGCTCTTATCATTGTACTCTCCTACTTAAGAACTTCAAATGATTCCCACCTACGGGCATGGATGGTGAATCTGCTTCCATTTGCAGATTTATCTGGATTAAGAGTGGCTGCCTGGGCTGCCAAGTTGAGAAGGACCCCGAGGTTCTGTGCAGGCTCCGTGGGGAAAAGTGTGATCATCCAGCGATGCCTGGCACGGCTCTGCAGGACATACATCTGCCCTCTCTTATCTTCTAGAACAAGTCCAAGCACCACATCCTGGCCCTCAAAGCTCCACCCAAGCCCCCTGGGACTTTTCTCAAAGATCCACCCCACTCCCGGCAGGCCTGTCACCAGTGCCCTGTTCTCCATTCAATATCATTCCCACTTCCTTTACCAAATGCCCTCCCTAAATACCTGCCACATGCTGTCACCCACGGAACCCTGAGAATCAGCAAATGCTGCCACAGTGAATGCAGCCATCCCAGAGTGGGCCCTCTGGCCCCTGCCCACCTCCTCGTTCTCCCCACCCGCTAGCCTGGAGGCTCCCCTCTACCTCTGATAGGCCACAAAATAGGTCACGTCCTGGGGGTTGCCAGGCCCTGGGAGCCACGTCAGGTACATGCTGAAGTTCCGGGAGAGCAGCGTCACGTTCTGGGGAGGGGCCAGAGAGGGCCTCCCTGTGGAGAGAAAGAGGTCATGAAGCTGGAGCTCCTGGCTGGTCTTTACATGGCCAAGCGGAGCTGAAGAGGGCACAGCGCACAGTCACGTGCTTGCTGAGTTTGAGAACCAGGGGTCATCTGGGGCGGCTGAAGCGTTGGGGACATGATGCAGGCTGGGAACCCGGGGGTCAGGATTCCAGTCACAGCCGTGCCTCTGACCGGCTGAACTGCCCCCCCTTCCCCTCCCCGGGCCTCGGTGCCCGTCTGTGCCATGAAAGGAAGCTCCGGCCCACTCTGGTAGCTGAGGGTCCCAGCAGAACACCGCAGGACAGGATCCACCTAGTGGATCCCCGGACTCCAGGAGGGAACAGCCCTGAGGATTGAGGGTCTCAAGGAGGAGGGGCTTTGTCTTGGTCTCAGCCATGTCCCCAGAGCCTGCCTGCAATGGAGCCTGGCACACAGCAGATGCACAACTAATGTGTGGGGGGTGAATGAACGAATATTGTGATAACCCGCATTATTCCAAAGGCCTCCTAACTGGCGGCCCTGCTTCCAGCCTTGCCCCCTCAATCCATTCTCTACATGGCAGCAAGGGCTAGAAGGAAAGATCGTGTCACTCCTCGGCTTTTCACTGTCTAATGGCCTTCACTTCACTCAAGGTAAGATCTGAAGTCTTTACAATCACCCACAAGACGCTACCCAGTCTGACCGTGACTCTGCCCCTTGTGCCCCGTCTCCTGTCGCACTGGCCTTTCTGCTGTTCCTAGAGCACGCCAGGCACGCTCCCAACTCGAGGTCTTTTCCCGAGCTGTTTCCTCTTCCTGGACTGTTCTCCCCCTGGATATCCACGTGACTCACTCCTCTGCTTCCTTCGCACCACTGCTCAGACGTCGCTGTCACCTTTAACAGGCTTCTACTTCCCCTCCTTGGCACCTCCCCCTTCCCACTGCTCACCCTCATCTTCTGAAATAAGCATCTGATTACACCACTCCCAGTTTCATGCCCTTCCCCTGCCCTCGGAATAAAGTCCACGCTCCTGATCGAGGTCCGTGAGGCCCTGCCCAGTGTGGCCTGGCCGGCCCATCTCACTGGCCTCTTCTGACATCTCCCTGACACGCTCACCGGGCTGTGGCCAACCTTCCTCCTCGCCCTTCTCAAACCACTGCATTCCTGTGGGTGTCTTCGAACCTGGGTATCTCTGACTTCCTGGTATTCACCATCTAATCTTTTAAAGACTGGATTCAAATGTCACTTCCTCCGGGGAGTCTTCCCTGACTTCTTGAAGAAGTGGTGGTGATGCTGCTGCTAATACTGAGCAGCTAACGTGTACTGTGCCCTAACTATGCGTCGGGCACTAGGCACCTGCATTTTCTCCTTCAATCCTCCCCACATCCCTAAGAGGCAGGTACTAATTATGAGCATTACAGATGAGGAAACTGAGGCCCTCTCAGCTAATAAGTTATAGAATCAGAATTCAAATGGAGGCCCAGCCGACTCCAAAGTCTGAGCTCTTGACCACACTTCCTCCTCTGGGTTCTTTTGGGGCCTGTTCAGCTTTATTCTTCTAACATCTGTGGGCCACTATTGGTCAATGAGATCTATTGACCACTGTGTGCCAGACCTTTCAAAGAGGAATACAACTCCATTCCTGCCTTTTAGGAGCTCACGATCCTATGGAGAATTCAGTGCCCTGCAGTGTTACGTGGGCCATGACGGAAATCATACAGGTTACAGAATGGCATCAGGGAGAGAGGGGCCAGTTCTGATGGTTCTCAGCTCGGCTCCCACCCATGGCCTTTTAGACCAAATATGGGTGCTCACTTCCACCCCATCCTGTGTCCTCTAGCTGGAACTGGATCACCAGGATGCCAATGCTGTCATTGCTCCCTGCTTCTGGGCTTTCTAGCAGGTGACTAGCAAGAGGCCAAAGTGTGTCTGTAAGCGGCTTATAAGGTATCCCGCAGGCAGGACAGGCCCAAAGTCTGAGCTTGGCCACAGTGGAGAAGTAGCAGCTAGAAGAGTTACCCAATGGAGCCTTCAAAGGGTGCCAGGCAACAGTTTGGCACTTATACACAAAGCCTCATTCAATCCTCAAGACAAACCACTTGATGGGGTGGGTGTCATTCCCCTTTCACGCAGCAGCACTAGGCTCAGAGACTGATGGTAAATAATTCGCTTGAGGCCACACAGCCAGATTGTGGGGAAGCCAGGATTTGAACCTGGATCTGGCTGTGCACCACCCTAAACCATCACACGACAGTTTGTGTCGCACACAGAAAACATCCCTGGGTCAAAGCACAGCTAAGTCCAGGCAGGAAAACTATTGAGTTTGACAGTGAAACAGGGGCACAGACTACCCCCTCCACCTCACCACAGAAACACTGTCCCTCATCAGCTGCAATGACACTCACTGCTGCCGGGACACCAGGGGCTGGGGCATCCCTGAGCTGGATGGATGGTCCTGCTCCAGCTTCTCACTCTACGACCAAAGCTGGCCATGCTGGTTTCAGCCTCAGTCTTCTCTGGTCTGTGTGTCTCACCTCTGCTTTCCTTCTTGGGTAATTCCCTTAATTGCTCTGAGCCTCAGTTTCCCCAGCTGAAAAGGGAGCAAATAACACCTATTTCATAAGACAGTTGGGTTGTGACGCTTAAATAGGATAATGTGGAGCCAGCACAAAGAAGTTGCTCAATCAATGCTGGCTTTTGATGTTACTATTAGATTATGTCGGAGGGCCCTGCTAGCTCTTAAATTGTGAGTCTAAGACTAGGAGGACATCCTGGGGGCAATCTTGGGACCTTCTCCCTGGAGTGGTTGGGCCTTGGTGGTTGGGTCTTATTTCAAGGTATTTTGTAATCTGTCAGTGGGGGCTCAGAAAAAAGGTGGCTTGACAGAACAAGAGCAGGGCACAGGCTCAAGTAAGAGCTCGGTTGCCTCAGGTCTGGCGGAGCATCTGACACTCCCAGCCCCAGGAAGGAAGGGAGCAGAGGAACGCGAGCAGGCTGCGGGGGAGGGCGGGGCACTTCCGTCTGATTGCCCCTACTAGCGAGGGTAAATGTGGTATTAATGCCAGCGGACTGGGCTTTCAAAAAAACCTTAAAAAGCACTTTTTAAATAAATGGAACTGCTTTTTAAACTGCCACTGTCTCTTTTTCCCCCGTTCTCCCGATGCTCAACTGGCATGAGGAAATTACTGGATCACTTTCCTCCCAGAAAGGAATTTCAAAGACTCTTGTAGGTCTGTTTAGCCCCTGGAACAAAACTGGTGGTGGGTGGGCAGGGCCGATTTCGCACCCAGCTCCCGAAGCTGCGGGCGGGCTGAGGACCACGTCCCTCCCTCCCTCCTCGGAGCTCCGGGTCTGAGAATGGGCACGGCCCGGTCGGGGCACCCCGCAGCCCGCAGCCCCTGGCCCTCCCCGCGCCCCGGACCCCGCGCCCCGCGGCCTCACCTGGAGCGCACTGCAGCAAGCACAGGAGCAGGGGGGCCCACTGTCGGGACCCCGCCATGTCGGCCCTTCCGCGGCCAGCCCGGCGGGGTCACGTCCCGGCTCCCGCCCCTCCGCCGGGCGGGTGATGGGCGGGCGAGCCGCGGGCCCGCCCCTCGCGGGCCAGGACTCTGCGAGGGTTTCCCCCCGGGGCAGCCCCGCCCAGAGGGAGGCGCCGCACTGGCTCCCGGTGCCGCCTGTGCTGGAAAACCTGCAAAACTGCCCGTAGCTTCCCAGTACCTCCACTTCTGCTCCATCCCGGGAGGCGGGGAGGTGGGCAGTAAATCACTGATGGGGGGAGGGGAGGGGTGGGGAGAGAAACTCTGTTATCAATAACCACAGTTAGGAATTCCAAGATGGGACTCTTGGACAGGACTAAGAGAAGCGTTCAGAGCGTTTGACTACAGTCTCAAATAGCACTGGCCACGGTATTTAAGCGTGTTCTACGTGCCAGGTACTAAACCAAGCACTTTTTACACATTATCTACTTTAATGTCCGCGAGAGTCCGGTGGGTCGGCCGTCTCATTCTCTACATTGTTCACATGGGGAGTGGCAGCCTCCAGAGCGTAATGGCTTGTTGAGAAAGCGGGTCCCTCCGACACCGAAGCCTGCGGGGTGTGACCAGTCACCTGGAGTAATCGCTTCCAAATAATGGAACCAGTCGCCCCCGCAGAATAGTCTACAGCCATTAAAAAGGATATTTGGGGGCATATGTAGTGACTGGGGATGTGTACAATACCGGCTCAGTAGGGGAAAAGCAAGTACCAAAATATGGGCCCATTAAAAACTGTCTTTAGGCATCGATGGATTTGGAAGGATATAACACCAATGTGTTAATGGTGGGTATCTCTGGGTGGTGAGGATTTTTTTTTTTAAAGTTTTCTTTCTGTTCATGATTAGTTTCTGTGTTTTTCAATAATTTATATGTATTGCTTTTCCACCAAGAAAAGTCACTTTTATTCTAAAAATAATCATAGCTCTCATTTATTAAATATGGTCTTTTCTGGGGCTGGCCTGGTGGCACAGTGGTTAAGTTCGCACATTCCACTTCCATGGCCCATATTCGGGCTGGCCTGGGTGGCCGGTGCCGAGCTACGCGCTGCTTGTCAAGCCATGCTGCGGCAGGCGTCCTACGTGTAAAGTAGAGGAAGATGGGCACGGATGTTAGCTCAGGGACAGTCTTCCTCAGTAAAAAGAGGAGGATTGGCAGCAGATGTTAGCTCAGGGCTAATCTTTCTCAAAAGAAAAAAAAAAAAAAACATCTTTTCTGTCCTTCCACAACTCTGGAAGGAGGTATTGCTTCCTCTTTACGGATGAAGAAACTGTCATTCTGAGAAAGCAGAGAACTTATGCAGGTGCTGGATTCTGGATTCAGTCCATGGCCACACTGCCTCTGGGTACTGTTTTGTTCACTCTTTGGGTCTCACTGACAGCTGGGTGACTGTTGGTCAGTTGTGACCAAGCCCATGACTAGGACCAGACGTGTAGCAGAGAGAACCCTGGAGCTCGCCTCTGTCGCAGATGCTGGCTCTCAGCTTGGACCCCAGCAGTTTGTGGGAGAGAGAATGCATTTTCACAGAACTTGGTGGACCCAAAACTCGCCCTGAGTTTGGCCATGGGTGCAAACCCTCGGAAGTTCCAGGAGCCTCTGGGATTTGCATCAAGCCCAGTCAGCGCTCCTTAACAGGGGCTCACAGAGGCCATGCTCGGACCTCAAAGGCAAGGCAGATGGAGGAGACCTCAGGTGGGAGGCACGCCTAAGTATCTCGGAACCTTCTCTGAAATCGTGACTTCATCTGACCAACTGCAGCTCTTTCAGACCCAGAATCCCACTGAACTTGGAACAGTTCCGCAGGGGGGACAGTGGGGTCTTCATCTGGCACCTGCTCCACCCCGTCTGCTTGTGTGATGGTAGCCTGAATCTGGCACCTGCTCTTTTTGACAAAATTTGCTGCAGGCTTGTTCTCCTCTGCTCCCTTTCCCTCCACCACATAACTTCAAGTTAGGAAATTATGTGTCTGGATGCCTCGGTGCATGAGTATAAAAGGACATTTGTGACCACAAACTCAGGCAAGTTGCATCTCTCAAAATCTTTAAAAAAAAGTCATCATGGACACAGGTCAGAAAATCTCAGCCAGTTACCACAACCCGGCCTGTACACAGGTCCTCAGTGTGCTGCTCCAGTGTCTTTCAGGTATCTCAAATACTGAGAATAAATCCATTCTGGAATAAAATGGGTATATCTCTGTTGAAATCTCTTTTATCTAAAACAGCACTCAATAACATTTATTGAGTCCTTGCTATCCAGCAGGCACCATAATTTACATATATTAAATTTATTTAATCTGCACAATAACCCCATGAGGTAGGTATCAATATCCCCTTTTAACAGGTCAAACTCTGAGAAGTTGCATTGCTTGCCCAAGGTCACACAGCTAATTAGTGACAGGGCTGGGATTCAGACCCCAGGCTGGCTGTCCTCAAAACTTGTGGGTTTAAAACTTCTGCTTCTCAGCCTCCAGATGGTTAAGGGCCGACAAAAATAAAAATCCCCTGTGTCTGTCACTTTCGGGTTTGCAAAGATCAGAGCACTGAAGTCTCATGCGCAGCCACGTGGGGGCTGGGCACCAGGTTCCTCTTTGGACTGGATTAGTAGGTGGCAGCAATGGTGCTGGTGAATATTTAACAACTGGGTCTGGGGCAGCAGAGGAAGCCTTGCTTGGTGACGTTTGTCTGTACTGCCCTTTAAATACCTCCACCATGGTCAGTTTCAATGTGAGGTCACTGAACAGAGAGTTGGGAAGAAATGCACATAATCAGCTCTCCCAAGTTTGTACCAGCTGGCTTCAGCACACCATGGGGTGAAAGAACCATAACTCAGCTTTCCCAAGTTTAGAGCCAACCACATCCCACGCCCTAGGTGGCCTATGGGGCTCGTGTTGAAAGTCTCTGGTCCACAGCAAAGGCTTTACAACATGGCCTCCTGCCGGGGTCCAGCCTCCGCAGAGTCCAGGTTCCCGCGGGAGAGACAGCGTCGGCGAAAAACTGAGGGAGGGGAAAATAAAGAGGACGTGAGACTTGGGTTGGTGTTAGCAAGTCCCCCTTATTGTGCACAAGTGTCGTTTATATATTTTTCAGGATTAGTACAGAAATGGTTCTACAAATATCTCAGAGAGATAAGGAAGTAAAAAAAAAGAGCACAAGAATATTTATTAGCATTCCATTCTATATAGCATAAGGTTAATGATCGTCTTCTCCGCAACTAACTAGTGTTTGTTGTCTCTAAGCAAAAAGAGATAGGTACCTAGACACCTGTTGTAATTCATGGTAAAGTTAAATCAAAGAGAGAAGGTCCAGGTCTCCGGACAGGACAGCAGTCCGTCTGTTTACATCCTGGGGGAGCCATGCCTGCCTCCCTCAATCATTTACGCCATTAGTGTAGATGGTTAATGGGAACAAAAGGCGATTCCAGGGTATCTTATGCCCAGGGCTATCTGCATTCTCAGCGGGCAGTTAAACATCTTTACTTTTTCGCGCCCTTTAGGGGGTGGAAGCACTCCTTTGTCTTTTAGATTGTGGAGCTAACAGTCCCTTAAGCACACTGCCGGAGAAAGTATCATTTTGTTAGTCAAGTAAAGGGCTGAAAAGCTAAGCTAAACTATATATCTTCAAGAATAAAAAACAGAAATAAGTATAGACATAACCTTGCTAGAAAGCATGCATATAATTCAGAAAATATCAGGGGTGTCGGCCGGCCATTCTTCACCGAGGGGCATCCCTGCACCCCTCGGCCCTTCTACTCACAATTGTTTATTATTTATTGCTTTTAGGAGAAAACCTCTATAACATTTTAACAGAAAGCAGAAGGTCAAGAATAATATATAGATACTTCTTGATTATCCAATTAACCAGCAAACTTAGAAGGACGATGCATATATATATTTAGACAAAGAACTGGAGGGAGAAGGAAACATTAACCAGACAGAGGCCATAAACCTAATTCGACATCTCATCTGGGCAGGATTCCTTTCTGCTTGTCTCAAATGGGACTGTGTGCTCCTCCAATAATTAACTGAAAAATATCTTGAAAGTTACCTGCAGGTGGTCACATTCTCTTACTATATTTAATTTTCCCGGGATGTAGTGCCTCCCAAGCAGCCACCCAAAGGAGTGAAAACTGGAGGTTAAGAAAGGAAAAGGAATGAAGGGCAATTAGAAGCAGCACAGGTTTCAGAACTATGTGAGAGGCTGGCCGGTTATTCTTCACCAAGGGGCGACCCTGCACCCCTAGGCGTTAATCGGCTGGACCCTGTCAAACAGCCGATCAAATGATGTAGCCACGGCTCCCGGTAGCCTCCATCTGCCTTTTTGTTTAGGGTTATGATAGTTAACAACCTTGTGAAATTACAGTTGTACATCATTATTAGTCATGTTGCAGGTACACCACTTCACCCCTAGTGCCCTCCCCCCACCCTCCTTTCCCCTGGTAACCACTGATCAGTTCTCTTTGTCCATATGTTAACTACCACCTATGAGTGGAGTCATACAGAGTTCGTCTTTCTCTGTCTGGCTTATTTCACTCAACATAATACCCTCAAGATCTATCCATGTTGTTGTGAATGGGACGACTTCGTCCTTTTTTATGGCTGAGTAGTATTCCATTGTATATATACCATATCTTCTTTATCCAATCATCAGTTGCTGGGCACTTAGGTTGGTTCCATGACTTGGCTATTGTGAATAATGCTGCGATGAACATAGGGGTGCATGGGACTTTTGGAATTGCTGCTTTCAGGTTCTTAGGATAGATACCCAGTAGTGGGATGGCTGGGTCATAAGGTATTTCTATTCTTAACTTTTTGAGGAATCTCTATACTGTTTTCCATAGTGGCTGCACCAGTTTGCATTCCCACCAACAGTGTATGAGGGTTCCTTTTTCTCCACAGCCTCTCCAACATTTGTCACTCTTGGTTTTGGATATTTTTGCCATTCTAACAGGTGTAAGGTGATAAGTTAGTGTAGTTTTGATTTGCATTTCCCTGATGATTAGTGATGATGAGCATCTTTTCTTGTGTCTACTGGCCATCCGTA